TCTCTTTCCTTGGGGATGGTCCCCTTTCCCCTCTCATGGCCACCAAGGTCAGGGGTTCTGCAGAGTCTGTGTTCTCGGCCCCCAAAGTCCTTTGGAGAGCCTTGGCTGGCCTCCCCTGACTCAGTTTTCCCAGAGCCCCGAAGCTGCCCTCTTGAAGGGAACGTTCACCGACAGCCCGAAGGCCGGCAGAAGGAGCACCTGCGCCGATTCAAAACTAGTCCTGCGTCGGGCTGGGAAGGAGTGATTTTGGTTCTCATGTACAGGCTTGAAAGACCACAGAGACATTGTGGTTTGCAATGACTTCCTTTGTTTCCTCCCAGCCGGACTCCATCCGACAATCAGAAAACAAAATGAAGTATCTGCTGGATGAGTGGGGTAGACAGTCATTCCAGCGGTCGGATAAGCCCGAGTTCTCATCCGCTTGTTTAACCTTGGGGAAAAAAGTGCTTTCTTGTTTGTGCTTTCCCATGATTTCCCTCACTATTAAAACGCTGACTGTGCTCATACCCCACAAGGCCCTTTAAGCTTGAGTTAAGTAAAATCTTAGTAAACTTCCGAGCAACGAAGAAGATAGTTTGTAACCTGGTTTTACTACATAAAGTATACTACCTTTGAAAGAATTAGAATGTAATGAAGCAATCTTAACGGTCATCTGATCATATCTGTGTCCTTTATCGCTCCAATGGGGAGAGAAGGGAGGAGGTGGCCCAGCGGGAGGAGGATCAGGTTCTCCTTGGAGAACTTTCCCCTCCTGACTCCCCTGTGCTCTTTGAAGCCCCCCTGCTTCCCTCCACCAGCCCCCCACATGGTGTGGTCACTGTCCACTTGGTCCTTCCACTTCTGCCCAGGGAGCCCTCAGGGGAGGGCACTGGTCTGACCACCTCTCTGTCCCCAGGGACTGGCACACTGCCTGGCTCAGTGGGCACTCACCAAACATCCGCTGACTGCGCTGCATGGGTGAGGAGCCCTAGGGAGTTGGTTTGTACCATTCTCCCCGAGCAGAAGCTTTTCTATCCAGCCCCCCCTGTCCTGTTGGATGTCCCCTTCCTCATCCTTGTCATCCTCCAAGATCATCCTGACAGTCACTTCCCCGTCTCCATCCTAGGAGCAGACATCTCCCAGCAGCAACAAACCACTTCCTTCGCAGCCTCTGAGCCCCACCCCTGAAAAATTTTTTCCACTCCCAGGACTGCAGTGACCCCTGGGGTCCTGGCAGCCCTGTTCTCTTCCAGCTGCTCATGTGCCCCTGCAAGGGGATGTGGTCCAGCTGGTGCCCAGGCCACTGCCATGGCCAGTCTCTCCGGCCACCTACAGAGGAGCCTATGGCGGATGTGACAACCACACAACATTCACTTGTGCTCTAAAAAGAGATGTCAGAGTGGTTACTGGGTTTGGGTTTTGCTTGTTTCTAGTTCTTCCCCTGGGGAGGAGGGGCATGGGAGAGGGAGCTCCCCCACCCTTCCTCCTCACGCTTCTGGCCTCCAAGTGGCTCTCCTACCCACACCACCTCAGGGTCCAGCCAGCGTGGCCTCTCATTTCCTTGCCCTCCCCATCACCTAACCTTCACCTCCGCTCCACTTCAACAACCATGGCCACACCTGGGGGCTTGTTTTTATCTGTCCTGCATGCCTTTGAAATCCTGAATTCACGTATTTCACATTCTGACCACATCTGTCAATCTTTCCATCCTGCTATTTTCTCAGTCCTTAAACAGGGTCATGGAGCCCTCCAAGACCTCTATTCTCTTGCCCCTCCATTTTCCCCTGGGCAACAGCAGTACTTCTGGCTTCTCCTCCATCCGTATGCAGCCTGAACCCGATCCATGTAGTCCAATCACCACCCTCCTGGACTTTCTGTGGCACCTCCCTACCAGCCCCCAGCCCTTCATCCCCCCACTCTGCGCCTGCTCTGCCTCAGGGCCTGGGATGCTGAATATTGCCAGAAGAAACAGAATAACTGTACATATTTATGTCACGATAAGCATGTGCTCTGACCTCCCTGGTTCCGTACTGCTACTTGGCATTGCTTCCACACGGTCCTGGGTAGCTCACTCTCTAGGACTCTGTGAAAGTATTCCACACCTTTACCATGCTCCACAAACTCCTCCCCCTGCTTCCAGCCCTTCACCTGGCCTCAGACTTCCCAGAGCACCATCGCTCTCTGCATTCTCCTATCTCTGGACTTACCTGAGATGAGACCTTTCCGGCCCTCCTTCCCAACTTCCCACCTTCAAGGCTGGCAGGAAGAGGAGTTCTCGCCAAGGTAAGCCTCATGCTGCCTCTAGGTCCCATACCTTCCTGCATCCTCTGGTATCTTTTCCAACCAAATCTCCGAACTCCTTCCTGTATCTTCAATCTCTCTGGCGAGAAGGCGAGTGAGAGGCGAGTGACAGTAAGAACACCGAAGCCCACCTCACCTGCAGTCCTCTCGGGGTGCACCCGGAGGGTGTTCATGAGTTGCGACAAGGTGCAGAGCTCTGTCCAAACCTGGCCAAGGTGCTGGCTCTCTGGTGCACCCGTGAGGAGTTCTTGAAAATCTTGATAAACCCTTGCCAAGCTGTAAGAAAGAGCCTCATCAATAAAGACATAGCTGTCATTTTCATCAACATCATTATCATCATCATAATACCTCGTGTAATTTTTTAACATACCACCTGCTTGACCTATCTATTACATTATGTATTCTCTCAATATTGCCAAGGCAAAGGAGAAAGATATTTTTACTTCCTTATACATATAAGATAACACGGGCAGTGAGAAATTTGTTGTCAAAAGTCTTCCAACTTTGCCAGGGCTGGGTCACCTCTCAACCCCATTCTCTATGTGTTTCCTGTCCCAAGAACCCTTAAATAGGATATTAGGAGATATTACTGGAGGCTCTTCCCAGCCAGTACCCACTTCTCTGAGACCTGCCCTTCCAGCCATTCACATGAGCAGGTTCTGACAGCCACGCTTAACCCGCAAAGTCCTCTCTGCATGCATGCACACACACACCCCCGCCAAGGCTGATGGACAGGAAGAATAAAGCTGGGCTAAGCAGATCTGTTCCCGGGAATTTGAATGGTACTCAGGGATGCTCTTCTGATTGCCCAAGCCGAGGGGCCGTGAACTGGGCAACTAGCGCCACCCCAGGCATTGAGAAGCAGGGGATACTGGTCCATGGAGAGAGGCAAACGGAGTAGAAGCCCAGAGGGAGGCAGACAGGCTGGACCTTGTAGGCCCAGACGGGAGGGAAGACCTCCTGACGGCTCTCCAGTTCTTCTCCCACTCCCTGAGGACTGCCTTGCTGCTCCTGGCTTTTCAAGAAGGTCTAGTGTCCAAACCATATCTTTCCCTCTGAGGCTTAAACTTGTTTAAATGTGGTTCTGTGCCCTGCAAGCAAATGAATATTTCACTCATAATGTGCGTGTGAGACATGAAACCCCGATTCCCTTGTTCAAACGCTGAGTACAGCTGGAGTCCGAAACCCCTTCCCTTCCCCCGCTCCCACCTCTCAATCTGTAGACACTGTCAGTGCCAGTCCCACCAAAGCTCCATAGAGCCTCCACTGAAATGCCTTCAAGTCTCCCCTGATCCCACCCTGTGACCCATGGGGTCTCTAGGCAGGTGTTTCTTCTCAGGCACCTCAAGGAAGCTCAAGCTGAAAGTACGGACTGTAAATTAAAGCTTCCAGGTGGTATTTGCAGCCATGGGAGCCCGGCTAAGATGCCATCTGCTGACTTTCCCGGGAAGACGGGCGTTCTGTGTTCCCTCCTCTACCTTCCTACCATCCGGGGGTTAGCAAGCATATTAGAGGCTTGTGGCGCTCGCAGTCTCTGTCACAACTACTCACCTTTGCCTCTGTGGGGCAAAAGCAGTCGCGGTCTGTTCCCGGTGGGCGGGGCTGCCTCTGAGTATTAAGCTGAATTACCAAACGTTCTTTTTTTTTTAGTCAAAATGCAGTTTTGTCCTGGAGGAATTATATCCAGATCTCCTCTAAGGAAAGAACTGGAGTAACCAAATATCTCAGTTTCCATCTGACTTGATGTTTATACAGGTAGGTGAAGCCTACTCCCCAACAAGCCTTTGTTGGTGAAACGTCACAAGCTGCAGCTCGAGGTCAGCCCAGTGGCTGAAGGACGATCCTGTCCTCATCCCTGAGCCTCTGTCTATAGAACATGTTACATCAAGTCCCCCTAACTCCTGCTCTGAGAGGGAATTCCAAAAATAGACCCTTTTCGTATGGAATTTGACCTGAATTCGATCCCAGACCAGAGGTCATTAACCTGGAGTCCACAAGTCCCCTGAAATCATATGCACAGTGTAATGTTTTGTGTGTGTGTGTGTGTCCATCTTTCTTGGGAGAGGGGCCATCAGTTTTCATCAGATTCTCGGAGTGGTCGTCAGCCCCACAGGTTAAGAACTTCTGCTCTCAGGCAGTATACTAAGATTTTGCCAACCAAGGGAACTGATAGCATTTACGACAGAGGATTTGGAAATTGTCTTTGTCTTCCAAGAAGCAAACTTCACCTTGTAAACTTGATTTCGTTCACCCTCAAAAGGTTCCCTGACATTTTTCTTAGCCTTTAGATGTCCAAGAAGGCTTTTAAAGGAACAGGGATCTCTCAGAATCGATCCAGCGTGGACAGTGATGTAAGGATACAGAAGGGGAACTGAGTTTTTTTCATCCAGTGACTCCATCCAAGAAGGTGAATGACCTGGAGGCAGTGGACACATCTCAGCAGGGGGCTGAAATTAGACTCCAAGTCACATCTTGGGGATATATGAACCAAGAAATTGTGTTATGTGGCCTTAGTTTGAAGCATTTTCCTCAAGTGCCCTGACAGCTGATAGAATGCTCCAGAGAGGAAACATGCCCTGCTCCTTTGAGTTTAAGGTTTCAGCAAACCACAAAAACACTCATTCAGCGTCACATGCTCTGTGTGCTCACACATGAACTCCAGGGCAAGATGAGAATAAAGGGTGCACAGCTTCCTCCTGGTATGGTGGGAATCTCAACACTTACATGGAGTTGTTATAGTTTGACACAATTCCAGGAGATTCTCCCGGGGTGGGACTTTGAAAACAAGGATTGTTCACATTGCAGAAAATTCCCTGGAGCCATGGCAACATTCCTGCTGAGGGCATCGCCTTGTTGGGAAAATGGCCTTTAAGACAGGAAATGAAGACAAGGAGTTAGTCATTGACACCAAGTAGGATGCAGGCCCTAGGATCTAGAGCCTCTGCAGGAAGGACCCCTGCCCTTCTGGTGCCTTCCTTCATTCACCAACATTTAAGAAGCAGGGGCGGGACTTCCCTGGTGGCGCATTGGTTAAGAATCCGCCTGCCAATGCAGGGGACATGGGTTCAATCCCTGGTCTGGGAAGATCCCACATGCCGCGGGGCAACTAAGCCCGTGCACCACAACTACTGAGCCTGAGCTCCAGAGCCCGGGAGCCACAACTACTGAAGGCCGTGCACCTAGAGCCCGTGCTCCACAACTAGAGAAGCCACCGCAATGAAAAGCCCACACACTGCAACGAAGACCCAATGCAGCTAAAAATAAAATAAATTAATTAATTTGTTGAAAAATAAAAAACGAAGCAGGAACATCTAATATATGCCCGGCCCTGTGCAGAGTGCTGGAGACAGGGTCTCTTCTCTCAAACTCCCAGTGTAGTGGAGAGTTGGACAAATGTCCTAATAGAGGCATGGATGGAAGTGTGAAGGGGGAACAGAGGAGAAGCACATCGTTTTGGTGGGGGGATGGGGAGAGGCAGAGAGATGTTAGCGCAAGAAGCCTCTGCGAGTTGCTGATGCTTGAGGAGGAGAAGAGGTCCATCTATTCCTTCCACAACTATGTATTGAGCATCTACTCCCAAGCATGCAAAAGGGGGCCCAGGCGCAGGTTATGGGCTCCTTGTGGGGTGAGGTAAAGAGGCAAGAGTTTGATGCGCAGGAGGCTGAGTCAGAACTTGGGGCCTGAAACTTAAAAACAAGAGGTTGAGGAGCAAGAATAGGGGACTGAGCAGCTGTGTGTAACTCCTGAGGCCCTCACCTCAGCTGTCTAGAGCCAGAAGATGTCATCCTGGCCAGAAACCAGATGAAGGCTTTCTCTGAGGGGCATAGTACAAAAGAGGTACTTACAGGCTCATCTTCGGTCCCAGGACACCTCTGGGGTCCAAGAAATACTATATTATTAATATACTATTTTTTGGCCCTTCTCATTTTTCTTTAGCAACATGTCTAACATATCTCTGAACTGTGTCCAAAATATTTCAAAGAACTCATCTATAATCTGCTCCCTTTGAAGTTAGGAAGAGTTTAGGTATAGGAAAAAAACAACCAAATAAAAAATAATTACACAATTCTTCAGTAACCACATGTAAGTAGTTGCATAGAATGTGTAGGATTTAAAAGTTAGTTTGCATAACGCCGATGAATCTCTGTTTTCTGCATCATAGGCATAAAATGATCATAAGCAGATCAGATCCTGGCACCCCCAGCCCCCAAAACCTTTCTAAACAAATGGATAGGCCCTCCAGGCCTGCCAAGGCTCCCCCTGCCCTCACCCCCATTACGCTTACATTCATGTTGGCTGTAGAGTGGGTTGACATTCCTTAACCAGATCAGGACCAGAAATAAAGATAAAGGCCACACAAGTTCCACCACAAAGCGAATCTGGGAAAACAAAACAAAAAGAGAGAAAGACCAGTGATGCTAAGAGATTACAGGAAACATACCCAAAGCAGACATACTTCATTTCAGTGCCTGTCTATGCAATAGGACTTTGGTTGTGGTATATTTACCTAAAGGACTTCCTTTTTTTAAAATCCCATCTCCCATACTGCCTCTACTTTGATATATTAGACTAACGAGACTTGGTGTCTCTCTGGGTTCCATTCTGCCTCTATTTTAGAAAACTGCATTAGCACAGTACTTTCGTCAAAGGTCATCAAGATATGCCCTTGGATGTTGCTGTGCACATGAATGCAAATTCTGATTCTGTAAGACCCCATCAGACCTCACATGTCTAACAAGCTCACAGGTAATGCTGATGCTGCAGGTAGTAAAGGTATCCTTGTAACCTCTCCTTCTGCAGATGAGGAAATAGAGGCCCAGGAAGGGCAGGTGACCTGTGCAGTGTCTCATCAGCAGTGACAGCATTGGAACCAAAATCCAGCCTCCTGTCTCCCGGCTCAGTGCTCTTCCACATTCCCCCCACTCCCACACACACACCGGCCCTGTCTTCTTCTAGCGCTGCTAGACTTTGCATGTGAGGTCACTGAATGAATGAATGAATGAATGAATGAAGGTGCAAATGCCTCTGTGAACTACTGTGATCCATAGCAAAGTCAAACCCAGAAATCTGGGTATACCAACGTTTTCCTTCAGCAATTTCTTGTTGCTTAAACTTATGCCGCCGCAGGATTTTATAATACTGGAAGAGGTTGCTGATACCGACATACAATTGAAAGTAGGTATTTAAATTTAGGTTCAGTTTAGAGTTTAAGGACTCTTGACTCCAAAGGAAGGAGAACAAGTTGGTTGCTTCAGCCCACACCCCGCGGCATTGCACATGAGGGTATGGGTGGAGGTGTGGGATTATTGGGGGAAGGGTGGGCGGGTATGTATTGGGGAATGTAATAGTTCTTCTACCCAACCCCCATTCCAGAGACCTTAGGAAGGAAACTCATAAGATTTAAAGGAGAATTAAGGCAGATGGCTAAGAATAGAAATGTAAGTATATATAGATCTGCTAGGGGCTATTCTCATGGTTTTAAATTTAACCCTTTGTTGTTCCTTCCAAAGAAATGTACTTAAACTCTCAGCAAAGTAGTGGACACCATAGCAGGTGCTCAATAAACCTTTGTTCCTTTTCTGTTGGTGAGGTCTGCTGGCAACTGAATTATTACAAATCATAACATAAGTCGAAGAGGGTAAAAAGATAATACATTGAAGAAAAAGCAAAAGATGTTCAGGGTAGGTGGTGGTTATGCAGTTGTAACTTTTTACAAAATGTTTTATCCAAAATATGTCTAGGGAGGATGTTTTAGAGGAAAAACTCACACAAACATTATGGGAAGAAGAAAGAATAGAAGATTTTTCCTTAAGGTACATATTCTCCCCGAAAATGGCAAAACACCAGTATTGGACAAGTCCCATCCCGTGTTAAGAGGACTGACCCCAAGCATACTTGATAGCCATAGAAATGCTGGCAGTCCCCGCAGGTCATGCAAATCAAGGGAGGAAGAGTAAAGACTGTCCCCGGTGACCCTATCTCACTGTTAACAGCTTCATCCATCTTTGCTGGGTACTAGCCAGCACAGCTGTTCCCACAGCAGCGCACTTCCCCTGTTTTATCACTCATCGTACTTCAGAGTCATTACTCCTTCATGAAGGTGGACCCCTCACTAGCTATAAGCTTCCTGAGGACAGGGACCACATCTATTCTTGTCACTACACCCAACACAGGGCCAAGCTTATAATAATTGCCCAGTAAATATTGGTGGAATGAGTGAGTCTCTGTCAAGACTGGTCTAGGAGGCTTCTCTGGAAAGCTGGAGGTGACTAGAGGCTTAGGTAAACAACCGTTTGCAGACTTAACAAACTGTTTTCCCCAGGGACATGTATGCTGGCTTCACGCCTTCCATCCCAGGTCGCCCTGTCAGTGGGCAAGGTCGGGGAGCAAGTTCCACAAGACAGCAATGTGAGTGATAGATGCAAGCAATGAAACCAAAACTTATTCGTGGTGTCCTCACCAAGGAAATGAGACAACCAGTCCAGATTCCACACATTTGACTCTTCCTTAAGACAACTGCTTGCAAAACTGGCTTCCTATCTAGTAAGTCAGCCACCTTCCATGAAGCAATGTCTATCTGGGAATTGTCTGGTGTATAAGACATTGATGTTGATTTGAGAATGGGAAGAGCTAGGTTAGGAGTCACTTTAGGGCTTGCTTAATCCCCAAGTCTCCGTTTTCTCATCTGTGAAATGGGACTACTTTGTCCTACAGCTTATACTGAGGGTTAAGAGTGTGTCAATACCAGGGGTTCTTAGCCAACTTCACTCCCTATTAGCTGTACAACCTTGGGTAACCCATTCTACCTCTCCATGCCTCAGGGTGTCTTCTGTAAAATGGGGGTGATATCAGGACCTACCTCTCAGAGCAGCTGTGAGGATGAAATGAGTTCACTGTGTAAAACACCTAAAGCAGAGTCTGGCACGTGGTAACATTCTATCAACGTGGGCCATTTATTATTGACTCTCACAAGGGTCACAAGGACGTTGTAGGTGACAGCACATTATAAAGTCTGAAGAGCGAGTTATAATTAAAATTATCTGCAACTCCTAGGTCTGCCCTCCACTCACATTTATGTTTCCTCCTTTTCTCCCTTTCTGGAGTCAGAACTGCTCAGTTGTCAGTTTGGAAACATGGGGCTTCCTGAGAAAACTAACCACACACTGTCCCCTACTCCATATGTTAGAGGGCCTTGGACCATGGGAGGGTCAGCCAGCCTGTCTTACCTGTCCCATGGATAAAATTCCTAAACTTAAGCTAGTGCACCTCATCTCTCTTTGCCATGTAAGTCACACACTCTCTCATCTACTCACCCACTCACTCACTCACTCTTGTATTTTTGAAGTATCTGTTCTTTGGAAGTCCACCCATCAGGAGGAGACCAGATCAGAATTTTCCTTTCCTCCTTCATCCTTTGCCTAGTAATAGGACTAGTACAGATTTGCAGGTGTTCCTCTTCACCATATCTCTGAATTAGGGCTGCTGTTTCCTGCCTCTCCAATGATCACCTTCGTTGACCTAGGTCTGCGGTTCTCACGCAGCTGCAGGCAGGAATCCTGTGGGGAGTTTGGGCCATGCCCCACATCAATTACACCAGGATGCCTGGCCGTGGGACATCAGCTCGGTGTCTTTTGTTTGTTTTTTAACACTTCTCAGGTAGTTCCAATATGCAGCGGGGGCTGAGAACCACTGGCACAGGTAGTGGTTGGTAATCTTTGAAAAGCAGTTTTTGAGACGTCAGTGGTACTGCTCCAACTCTGCAAGCATTTGTTTTGGAAGGGCTGCATTTCACACTTCACTCCCTGCACAAAGACCACCGGCAATTCTTTTCTAGCCCTTCTAGCCCGGCACGTCCTCACAACAACCTCTTCTCCCTCCCCCAGAACTGTGGACTCAGCACCCCAACCCCAGAGCGGCATCTTTGTCCTTGATGCTCAACTGTGCACAGGCATACCCTAGGGAGAAATTCCACAGTGTAATTAAAAACATGTTTTCAGAGCAGCTCTGACTCCCCACACCCCTTCTCTTTAAACATGTCTGTAACTTTAATTAAGCCCAGCCGAAGCTCAGAAGGGGCCGGTGGAAATTTTTTTTTCCAAACTGGTATTTCCTTGTTCCCTTTTTTTCCCCCCTCCCCTCCCCCTCTCTTTACCACTCAACCTACTTAGGGGAGGAGGGGTCACAGGGAAGGGCAGAGTCGTGCTTGTTGTTTTAAATCTTGGCCAGTTAGGTTTTCTTCCCTCCTACTCTGTTTTCAATTTGAAAGCGGGTGGCCAAGTTTTGAAATGAGCTGCAGGATTCTCCCTTCTGCACCGAGAGCCCAAACAGGGTTCTCAGCCTGGATGAGTATGACCCAGGACCTGGGAAGGCTTGGAGCTGGCTGCCCAGCTTCTCCACACCTGCCAGGTTTTCCTCACCTAATTCTGGTCCCCAAGTCAAAGGTCACAGCGGTACCAGATGTCCAGGTCTGGGGTCCGAGAAATGATAAGCCCCGTACTCTCATGAATCCTTAGGCTTCCCCAAGTATCCCGCCCTGATATGGAAGCTGGGACCAGGGAGATGACACCAAGGGGCCCTAGACTATGGGCTCTAAGGGGCAAGAGACACATCTAATGGTCTTTATAAACCGTCCCAACACAGTGCCTGACCCATCGAAATGTGGGCGCACATGTATTTGTCCCCACCAGTGGGAGAGGTCTTATCTTTGGAAACGCATGCTCTGGGAACGAACTCCTTGTGGAGACTTCTCTTACTCCTGCCAACCCCAGTCTCTCTTCTGAGCTCCCAGAGCTCATCCTCATCCCCCACCCCAAGCTTCCTTCTACTCCACAGTTGCACATGGTTTTCCACTCAGCAATTGTGCACAGGCACCTGTTTCCACCTGGCTCTGAATTCCATGAGGGCAGGGGCTGTCTAACTCACCTGGCTATATAGGACATAGAGGGTGACCATACAGCCTGGTTTGCCAGGTCCAGTATCAGTTTACACTTATTGTGCTGGTGTAATTATTAATTATTACTATTATTATTAATAGTGCCTCCTTTCACTTTTAAAACTACCCTGGATTGGATGATAAATTATACAGTCACCCTACCTTTGTGGTCTTCCTGACCAGCTAATTAGACGGGGCTTTATACATGGGGGCAGTGTGGGGTAACTGACATGTCTGCCTGTCCTGGAGTCCTGGATCCGGCCCCACCAGTCTCTAACATCTGAAGCCTCAACAACCTCATCAGTACCCATGGCGGATAATAGTGGTAGCTCTCTCACGGAACTGAGGTGAGGGTTAAATGAGGTGATACTTAGTGCAGTGCCAGGCACTTGGTAATACTTAATAATGTCAACAGAGGAAGAAAAAAAGGGAGGGAGGAAGGCAGAGATCTGAAGACTTTCATTTATGCTCTTAGTGATAAAGAGAGGAGGAATGGGGAAATTTGGTATCTGGTTTTTGCTCCTGCTCTGCTCACAATAGTAAACATCAAAAACCATGAAAGTTTGAGGAATTAAAAACCTAGGAGCTGAGTTATGGGCTGCATGTGTTGTATTTTTCTTTCGTAGAGTCACCATTTTGTGAAGGCAGAAGCTTCCAGAAGCTTTACAGGCAGCTTCAAAAGTTTACAGAAGGAGCCATAAGAGCTTTTACATAAGAGCTTTTAGGGGCTGTGGGGATATCTCCATCATATCCAGACATCCTGGAAATTTTCGGAATGTGGGAGCAATTTTCGGAATGTGGGAGCAGAGGGGAAGCTAGCTGGAGGCACACCAGACAGAGACCTCAATTTCCAGGCCATCAGGATGTCATCATACAAATGTCAGCCCCAACTAGGTGCTTCCTGGGAGATTCCCGCAGTCAAGGTCCTCACCCTGAAAGGCCCCATCTTGCTGCAGAGGGGCGGGCAATGTGCTCCCCTAGGAAGCACACTGGAGAAGACAGAGTCCCTGAACAGGGGCCACCTACCAACACCAGCAAAAGGAAGCAGAGACTGTGAGGACCTCTGAGCCAAACCCTGTGACTGAAAATGGGATTATTTTAGGATAGGATATGTCAACATGCTTTGCCACAGGAATGGAATCATTTCAGGCCAGCAGCTGTAGTCCTTGGGTACATTTTTTGAGGACCATGAAGAGCACAATGAGAGTCAAATTGAGTGAGAATGTTAATTTCTCAGCATCCCATAGATTATAAGCAGCATGCAGGCAGGGACTGTGATTGTCTTGTTGGTCATTGTGTACCCAGCACCTGGCACAGTGCCTGGCAATTATTAAGTATTTGTTAATTGAAGGTTCCTTTAATAACAAATGTTATTAAATGAATAAGTGAACAAATTTAGTAATGAGTCTGTTTCAATTTTACCTATTTGCATTCTAGAAAGGAAGCTCCCAGAAATAAGATTGAGTCCCTGATTACCCTTAGCGCTTGGCTCCTGGGATAGCAAATAACTTCAGTGCTAATTTGAAAATCACACCAGCTTTGACAAAGGAAAGCAGCCTGAGGACACTGGTGTCTCCCAGTAGGAGGGGGTCCTAACTTGTCTTTCCCCTCCAGCCTCCCTAAGTCCTGCCCAAGCCATACAAGTGGGAAGGATCATCTGTGCACATGGTTGGATTGTGTCCCTTGCTGCTCCCTTTCATGCCAGTTATTAAGCTATTCTACCTCAGTTCCAAACCCTTTTGCCAGCCAGGGCTTCTTCCTCCTGGGTCTGGGCCTAAGACCGAGCTCAGAGACCCCAGCAGCAGCCTCACTGAATCCCTTACTCACAGGGCTGAGTTCCACCTCTGCTAACATCTCCTCTGTGTTCTTCTCCTCTGTATTCCGCTTTCTCCCTTTGGTTCTCTCAGCTCTAGGGGTGGTAGCTGCATCCTGCAATTGCTACCTCCATGTCACCCTGGAGTTCTGTTACATCCTCAGTTACCAGCTTCGTACTAGCTAACACCTCCTTGTATTAGAGTCCCTCTGACTGGACCCTGACTGAGACACTCATCATAGGTCTTCAGATGTTCCACCTGTTGGCCCCCTTCCCTCTCTAACCTTCTTTCCAACGCCCACAAAAACCCTGTCCTGCCCACACAAACCCACTCTGCATCGAGGCTTGGAACAGATCTGTTCTCTTCTTCCCTACAGCCCGTCTTCCTCCCTGTCTCCTTCCAAGCTCTCCTGCTTTGCCTGGCTCCCTCTAATCCCAACCCTGCCCACCCCTCAATCCTCCCCCCTTCATCTTCTCTCGGCTCCTTTAGTCATCTGGCATTGCCATGCCCCTGAGGCCATAGCAATGTGCATTGTTTCTTTATAGTTATATATTCACTCTTTACCCTTTCTTAGAAAAAAATTACGAAGGCCAGTCAGATTTACATGTATACCCCTGGGATCCCTGATCTCCTGTGGCTCTTGCCTGTTCTCAGGAGATATTTGGACTATGTTCCTTTTTCTTGCTCTTGGTCTCAAAACATATTTTGGGTTCTCACAGCCAGACTCGAAGTGCATAGGATCTGTGTCTTTTAAGTCCCTGATCCAGCCCAGTCCCATGTGTGCTCACTGGAAATCTCAGTAAACATCCGTGGTTGTTGATAAGATATCTCATTGAATCTAAGACACCATCAATTGTCAGATGCACTGTTATTTTTTGCACACTATGAAAAGAATGTGTCACTTGATTGTGAGCTGCAGTCCAGTTTCAGAAATGTGAAAAACCAGTGTGCTTTGTAGAACCAATGAAACATAGTATCATTGGATTGGAAAGCTCTTAGAGAGCATGGTTTTCCTTTGAGCCTGATCTTCAGGACTTAGGGCTCTTCCTGCCGCACAGCACGGCTGCACAAGGGCATATGGACAGAGGAGCAGGTTTAAAAACCGGGGGCAGGGGAGGGATGGGCAGGCAATGGATTCATGTTCAGGGCAGGCAAAAGCAGACTTTATAATATGGCTGTGCTGGGCTGTAGGTGGAAGGCAGCTACCTCAGGACAGAGAAGCACACCTTACTGTGAAGGACATTTGTCAGAGAGGCTCACAGAGGACACAGACAGTTACCTGCTGCTTCAGTGATAAATGGCAACCAGCCCGTTGGCTACTCACTTTGCCCACTCCCACCCCACCCACTCTCTCCACTGTCTATTTGCTCCACACCTCCTCAGTGTGGGACCACAAGCTGCACCTGTTACCTTTTGCCTTTTCCGCAGGGTCCAGTTCTTCCAGAGCAGAAGCTTGATCTGTCTGGCAAAGCCCATGCTGTTGACCACGGAAGACCGGGAGACCACTCCTAGCCCTCTGTCTATGGCTGGGGCTCACAGGCAGCAACAGGCATACATGGCGCCCAGAGCACCTCCAGCTCAGGCTGCTGTGTCCTTCTCTGGCTGATTAAAGGCTAGTTTCTTCCTTCAAAGCATAATCCCTTTTAATTACACGTAATCCCTTTGTGGAGGAAAACAGGCTGACACTCCGTTGGCACCTTTTTAGGAAGACATGAGTGGCTGAGCACTAAGTGAACTGAGGTGGGGCCATTTCGTGGGAAACCAAGACCCTCAGGCTCCCTCCCCCATCAAAGCGGTTTCTGGGGTTCCTGAAGGGGATGCCTTTGGGAATCTTCGACCTTTCAGTTTGGGACAAAATCTCTGTGCATAAATATAGTGCGGGCCGTGTCCTCTGAAATAGCCTGCCCAGAGCCAGCACCCAGGGATTGACATCTACTTTAAAGCCCAACTAGCCCACATGCCAGATCTGAAGTCATCCCTCCCTTTTTTTAACCCTTTATCTTGCTCTATAGTGACTTTAGGCCAGCTATTTGCAGGCATCTCTGAGCTTAGTGGATGGTAAAGGATTTTTCTCTCTTGTGCTGAAATTGATCAACTAGTCACGGCTACCTGGAGCTGTGTTGGAAAAGTTGCTGGAACCCTCCACGTTCAGCAAAACAGGGCCTGTGACTGACCAGCCATGTCTAACGCAGTCCAGGCTTGAGGACTGGCAGTGGGTGGGTCAGCTACTGTCATTCCAGCTCACAGTGGATGGACTCGTCATTTGGAGGTGGATCCGTGATCCCAAGGGGCATTGCAAACAGAAGACTTCCTGCTACTTCACCACTAGGAACTTTTAGTCTCCACCTCTTCAAATCTTAGAAGTTGATTCTCTTTGAAAGACTCTAGACCCTTGAGACCTTGACAGGGTGGAGGGAGAGCCATGGCGTAGGAATGGATGCTGACTTCATGGAGTTTGTGATCTGGTTGTAGACATGAGACATGAACGTGGGTAAGTTAAGGAGTGTGATGGAATCCATGAGAGCATACGGGCTATGTATGGTGGGGCTTCCAAGAGGAGGAGGATGGTTTCTGCTTAGGATATCAGAAAGGCTTCTTGGAAGTGGCAGCATTAAAGCTAGGCTTTGATGAATTACAAAATAACATTTTATAGCATTTTTATGGTTTACAGACCACTTTTGCATATGTTATCTCATTATATGCTTACTACAATTTTGTGAGGTAGGCATTTACTCTGTTTTACAGGCAAGGAAGCTTAAGTCTAGTGGGGCTAAATACGTTGCTCAGGGTGACACATGACAACGTTGGGTTACTAAACAAGTCATTTAACCCCCCTGCAAAGATAGGGAGGCAGGAATAGCTTATCCTACCCAGGGAAACACCAAGAAGTAAAGCAGGCTGGAGTGGAGGGTATGGATGGAGGAGTGCTGAAAGAGTAGGCTAGAAAGGGAGCCAGGGATCAGACTGACGAATTGATGATTATTATTGACTCAACTGAGATTTCCTGAGCACCTATGAAGTGATCTCTGAGTGGCCCACAGGTGCAGGGCACACCCCAACAGGAGCGGGCTCTGGGCAGAATCGCTAAGACATTGTTGCATGCTACAGAATATGGGTTTTATCATGCAGAAGGCTATTGCAGATTTTAATCCAGTGGCTGCCAAGGGTGGTAAATTCACTCTGGCAGCGGAGTGGGGGTGGGGTGGGGAGCAGAGGCCTGAGGAAAGGCAGTAAGAGGGGAGGGACTGGAGACACAGCAGGCTGGTGGCTTACTGGAAGTGGGTGATGAAGAGGAGGGAGAAGTCAGTTAGAATGACTGGGGTTTAGCGCTTGGCTGGCTGGATAGTGAGGTGGTGGTGCCCATAACTGAGAGGAGAATGCCAGAGAAGGGGCTGGGGATTAGGAACAAGTGGGCGAAAAGATGGGCTCGGATTTGATACATTGACGTTGAGGTCCCTACGATGACATCTAAGCGGAGATATTCAGCAGGCAGTTCTGGGGTGGAAACATAGATTTGGGAATCATCAGCATATAAGCAGAAGATTAAGCCCTGGGAGTGATTAAGTAGATTCCCAGGGAGGACAAAGTTGGAGGGTATGTGGGATTGCTCTGGGGAGCTACAGCTGGTGAAGAAATATGCCTCCTTCCAAATTCCCAAAGGGAAGAAAAATAGTGGTGGTCATCAGACATCAGCTTTGTAAATTGTGTCCTGTCATAGTATAAAAATATTCTATTTTTCTTTGAGTTAAAACAGAAAAAGTTAAACTATGAGCACTTTGTTCTGTTCAACTGAGGATACTCCAATGGCCTTACCCCTATCTAACTGATGTTCTTGCCTGCACAAGTGTTCTTTTGATGCTGACCCTCTTTTTATCGTGGCAAAATATACACGACATAAAATTTACCATTTTAACCACTTTTAAGTGTATAGTTCAGTAGTGCCAAGTACATTTACAATGTCGTACAACCATTACTACTATCCATTTCCAGAAATTTTTAATCTCACCAAACTAAAATTCTATACCCATTAAACAATAACCCTATTCCCTCATCCTCCTGCCAAGCACCATTCTACTTTCTGTGTCTATGAATTTGAGTACTGTAGGTACCCACCCATAAATCAAATATGATGTTCTTTTTGTGCCTAGCTTATTTCATTTAGTGTAATCTTCAAGGTTCATCCATGTTGTAGCATATGTTAGAATTCCTTCCCTTTTCAAGGCTAAATAATATTCATTGTCTATATATACCACATTTTTCTTACCCATTCATTGATCCTTAGTTATTTGCACTGTTTCCATATTTTGGCTATTGTGAATAATATTGCTATGAACATAGGTGCACAAATATCTGTTCAAGTCTCTGCTTTCAATTTTTGGGGGGGAGTAAGTACCCAGAAGTGGAATTGCTGGATCAAATGGTAAATATATATTTAATTTTCGTAAGAACGACTGTTTTCTGTGACAGCTGAATCATTTTACATTCCATCTGCAGTGCACAAGGGGTCCAATTTCTCCATATCCTCACCAACACTTGCTATTTTCTGTTTTGCTTTGTTTTGTTTTATAATAGCCATCCTAGAAGGTATAAAATGGTATCTTACGGTTTTGACTTGCATTTTCCTAATGACTGGTGAGGCTGAGGCTCTTTAAATATTATAACTACACTTAGGTGTGATCTCCACCCCACCCTCACCACCACTGCTCCCACCAGGTAACTACAGTTTTTTAAAAATTATGTCAAAATAAAAGGCTGTGTTCTTAGTTTTCTCAAATACCTCTGAGAATATGCCTAGGCAATAATGGTGCTGAGAAAGATGGGAGAAGACTAAGATGCGGAGATCACCTTCCTCCCCACAGATACATCAGAAATACATGTACGTGTGGAACAATTCCTATAGAACACCCACTGAATGCTGGCAGAAGACCTCAGACCTCCCAAAAGTCTCTTGGTGCTGCAGCCAGGAGTCAGTGCTGTGCCTCTGAGGTGGGAGGGCCAACTTCAGGACACTGGTCCACAAGAGACCTCCCAGCGCCACGTAATATCAAATGGAGAAAATCTCCCAGAGATCTCCATCTCAACACCAACACCCAGCTTCACTTAACGACCAGCAAGCTACAGTGCTGGACACCCTATGCCAAACAAATATCAAGACAGGAACACAACCCCACCCATTAGCAGAGAGGTTGCCTAAAATCGTAGTAAGTCCACAGACACCCCAAAACACACCACCAGACGAGGACCTGCCCACCAGAAAGACAAGATCCAGCCTCATCCACCACAACACAGGCACTAGTCCCCTCCACCAGGAAGCCTACATAACCCACTGAACCAACCTTAGCCACTAGGGACAGACACCAAAAACAACGGGAACTACGAACCTGCAGCCTGCAAAAAGGAGACCCCAAACACAGTAAGATAAGCAAAATGAGAAGACAGAAAAACACACAGCAGATGAAGGAGCAAGATAAAAACCCACCAGACCTAACAAATGAAGAGGAAATAGGCAGCCTGCCTGAAAAAGAATTCAGAATAATGATAGTAAACATGATCCAAAACCTTGGAAATAGAATGGACAAAATGCAAGAAACATTTAACAAGGACCTAGAAGAACTAAAGAGGAAACAAACAATGATGAACAACACAATAAATGAAATTAAAAATACTCTAGAAGGGATCAATAGCAGAATAGCTGAGGCAGAAGAACAAATAAGTGACCTGGAAGATAAAATAGTGGAAATAACTACTGCAGAGCAGAATAAAGAAAAAAGAATGAAGAGAACTGAGGACAGTCTCAGAGACCTCCGGGACAACATTAAACGCACCAACATTCGAGTTATAGGGGTCCCAGAAGAAGAAGAGAAAAAGAAAGGGACTGAGAAAATATTTGAAGAGATTATAGTTGAAAACTTCCCTAATATGGGAAAGGAAATAGTTAATCAAGTCCAGGAAGCACAGAGAGTCCCATACAGGATAAATCCAAGGAGAAACACGCCAAGACACATATTAATCAAACTGTCAAAAATTAAATACAAAGAAAACATATTAAAAGCAACAAGGGAAAAACAACAAATAACACACAAGGGAATCCCCATAAGGTTAACAGCTGATCTTTCAGCAGAAACTCTGCAAGCCAGAAGGGACTGGCAGGACATATTTAAAGTGATGTAGGAGAAAAACCTGCAACCAAGATTACTCTACCCAGCAAGGATCTCATTCAGATGTGATGGAGAAATTAAAATCTTTACAGAAAAGCAAAAGCTGAGAGAGTTCAGCACCACCGAACCAGCTTTACAACAAATGCTAAAGGAATTTCTTTAGGCAAGAAACACAAGAGAAGGAAAAGACCTACAATAACAAACCCCAAACAATTAAGAAAATGGGAATAGGAACATACATATCGATAATTACCTTAAATGTAAATAGATTAAATGCTCCCACCAAAAGGCACAGATTGGCTGAATGGATACAAAAAC